AGAGTGGAAAGGAAATCAAGCTGTTGATTTGTACCATAAATTACTTTTCATGTGAGGACTTCAAAGCAGTATTTACTTTTGTGACCACTTCTTACTTACTGTTCAAAATAACTACGGATACATAAAGAGGGGAGGAAAAAAAAAGTAAACAAGAAAAAAACCTGGAAACATTTTCTCCTTTTAGTATTTTTTTTACAGTCACTACGTGAAAGCATTTGAAGTACTTCCTACCTCTGTTAAATTCTGTTTATAGTTTCTGAGGTCTACTTCCTTCCTGTTATGATTTCGGTGGCGTTGTAAATGACATGTTTTACTCCTGTCAACACTGAAGGCTTAGCTGGTTTGGCTTTTTCTGTTTTGTGTTTTTTTTTCTCCAGATGATATTTGTGTCAGTATTGGTTTCTCTGATTTTAATACGGCCACAGTTAGAACTGTTTCTTGAACGCGTTTCATACCAGAGCTCTGCAGCTGAAGCACCTATATTCAAAATTTGGTTCTGTTGAGTAGGTTTTTGAACTGCTGTAAACTGTATTAACTTTAAAGGGGTTGTAGGTTAACCAGAAACAAGGAGATACATCTTAGGCTGAAGTACAGTGTAATGGGGTTTGTGGAAAAAACGCAGGATTCACGTGAAAACCCCTGTGGCCTTTTAGACAGGCATATGCATAGTGTTTACATCAGCGTTTGTCAGCAGCGTGGAGGTGGGGAAACACCACCTTCAGCAGAGAGCTTTCAGGAAAAAGTAAAGCGTTTTCTCTTGCATGCTCTGAGATCATTGTCAGTGTGTACTTGTAGAGAAGCGGGGGTAGGAGGGGGTGAGAGAAAAAGAGTACTCACCAAAAAAGCCAAGTATTTTGAAACAATCATATTTTCTTTCCCAGGCAGAACTGTATGTCAAATTTAGATAAACTTGGAGGGCAAGATATTAAAGATTGCCAGGGTGGGGTTTTTTTGTTTTTTTTGCTTTTTTTTAAAATCTGAACTATGATCTGGCTAGTAGCTAGTTATTTGTGATCGAGTGCTTGCAAGTGTGGTCAGCTCCTAAGTGAAGTTGACAGGTCCCTGTGGCTCAGAACAGTTAGGAGGTAGCTGGTACCTTTCAAGTGTGTAGTGAGGTGAGCACATAATCATTGTATCCCAGCAGGGTGGTTACATCCACTGTGACCCACAATCAACTCCACTGCTGGGCTTCAGGAACCAACTGGCCAAATGCCTACAGAGTGCTCAGTGACTGACCACGCTGAAATGACAGTCAAGGAGGAGCTAACTTAGGTATCTCAGAATAAGACCTTTTGAACTGATGACATTGAATAGCTTGTGAACATGCTAATTGGGTGGGTTGTCATTGCCCTGTTGGCAACTGACAAGGAAAAGGCAATCACCTTTGCTCAAATGAAAACCAAAAAACAGGCCAGATGCTTTGGTTTTGTTTTTCTGCTTGGCACTGGCAGAGACTGACTGGAAAGCTGATGGCTCTGCACAGGGTGGTATTCCATGAAAAGGCAATTGTCAAGAAAGGATAGAACCTAGTCCATATTTTCAGCTCCTAGGAGTTGCTTCATGCCCTGGTAAACAATGGCAGTGAAACACAGGACTTCATTTTGCAAACGTATTTTTTTTGTTTGCACACAGCACAGGCTGTGCCTCGCACGTTTCTGCGGGCAGCTGGCAGCCTCTTGCTGCTTCACCTTACAGTGCTGCAAGCTGAGGCCAGACCTGGGACCATGTGCTGGCCACTTCTTTCAAATCAGTCTCCTGGGCTTCAGCTATCATTTCTCGCTTCTGTAGTCCTGGGAAGTGTTTTAATTTTTGACCCTTGGGCTCGCTGTTTTAATTCCAGGACCACCTGCTGTGTTCTTGCTCTAGAAATGTCTGAAATCCAAAACCTATTGGACTCAGGTTGTCCTGCCTGCACACCCTAGCTTTTAATCCCTTTCCTAGCCAGGCAGAAATGTGGTCCGTGTAGTATCAATGAAACCATCTACTGGAGGAAGTTCTGTGAATGTCGATGTGAACCTGGTGAGGTTAGAGCAGATCTACCTGCAACATCTTACCTGAAATATGCTTTCCAAGCTCTCTCAGCTGTGTCAGTGCTAGTGCAATGTGTACTTCACCATGTGCATGAAGCACATTTCATCGCATCCTCACCATGTTGCCCATCTTGTTCCTTCTCACTTCCTCTGTGAAATTCAAGTGTTTAAATCTGATAAGGGAGCTAGAGGAATGCCCTGGTTTCTTCAGGTCTGCAAGATGCAGAATCTCTCTCTGAGCTGGAGATGAACAGTGCAGCACAGGCAGAGGTCAGATCCTTTTGGGTTCAAACATTTCTGCTGTTCGTCTCCAAAATGTCTCTGTCCATGGATAAGTTGTACTCATCTATCAGGGACTGTTTATCTCATACAGTCTTCATTTCATGAAGAAATTTCCTTTTTTTCCTGGTGGTTGCAGCCATGTGCATTGCCGAATACCTTGTGGGTCTAGCTAACCCTTTTGCCTATCTTTTGGGTCCTCTCTGTTTTCCTCTACACTGGTAGCAAGATCTAAAGGCAGACAGTGCCTTTT